GCGTCCAAACGTGGTCGGGACACAGACTAGAAGATCGCTCAGATCGAATCGAAGCCATCAAGAAAGGTATATCTCTGTTCGTCCTTTAGGAGCATGCTTAGGTTTATTCGAAATCATGTATGTACATGTTTGGTATCCGATATCGATCTGTGGGTAGGACCGCCTCGTCGGCGTGTTCCAGCACATATGACAGAACCTAAGCCAAGTTCGTCGCTGGCGCGACGCCAGTCGCGGCCGCGACACAAAGGCTAACAGACATGTTGCCAGGGCGTCGCAGGCATGATGGTTGTCGCGCTCGCGACACTGGCGATGACAAATCTGTTGCCAGCCCGTCGCGGCCGCGATGAATGTCGCGCCCGCGACATGTTATTTTTTTTTTGAAAACGAACGTTTATTCGTTATTTCATACAAAATAAGGATTATACATTTGTTTTAGTGAAATATGTATATATCACGGCCGTGACGTTTGTCGCGGACGCGACAGTAGGACCTGTCTAAAATGGACATAGAAAGTTGTCCCAGTGTCGCGGGCGCGACGGACGTCGCGGCCGCGACAAGCAATTTTTTTTTTATTTTTTTAAAATAACGAATTGTTCACCGGTTCCTCGACTTATTTTCGGGAGCTCGGCATCGAACCCTTTCGTTATTTATTACATTAAAACTTCTCGTTATAGTAAGATTTTTAACGAAGTTGATTAAAAAACATAACTACATTTGAAAGTACGTATAACACATGAAAAACATTGCATTGAATAACACATGAAAAATAATACAACAATGTATTATCCAAAAGATCCATACAACTCGTTACATAATAAATGTATAAAACAAACTATGGATCAAAATGAGCACCAAATATCTCAGCAGCTAGTTTTTCACGCCAATCACTAATCCTAGATTGATCTACGTCTTCAACATTCTTCCCAGCATACAAAAATTCAATAAACTTGATTGTAAACATCCCACAATCAACCCTGCACCATAAATGTACAAATTCTATTAATTTACCAAGTTTCATAATACAGTTAAAAACCTAATATGATCAAAATATATATTATACGTACCCATTGCTTTGGCTAGGAGCTGTCATCCGTTTCCCAGCAAACTTTTCGGCACTGTATTGAGTATTCAACTTCGTCAGTAGCATCGGCACCACAACTCGAATGGGCTCAAGTTGCTTCTCCAGTTGTGCCTTCTGCAGGACAGTTGTTTCGCTATCATAGACGTAAACGTATCTCTCCGATAGATCAATCTCTAGTGCGAGCCAGTGGCCCTCGCCCTCCTTGCAGAAAGGAACATACAGTTTCGCACAGTCAGTCCACGGCTTTCCATTATTGGGTATCTCCCCTGAGGCGTATCTAGTCAAGGCCTTCAGAATTTTTTGAGTCTTCGGCATCTGCTTGAAGAAATTTCGCACGTACGTGACAAAAAACGTGTCCAAGACAGCACAATCTTGTCTAAACAAGAGAGGGAACTGTTTACCACGCTCTCGAATGTGAAAAAGGGCTTCATCTACATGCTAAGAGTATAATGTTTACTAGATTAGTGAATATCATGCTTTTCAAAGGTCAAATATTGAATAATTTTTTTTAAAAAGTTTACCTGATTAGAAAGCCATCCATCGTTGAGAAGTTGATTAAAAAAGACTTTATCTGCTATACCACCAGAGGACAACTCAACACTACATAAAAAATCAATACATTAAACAAAGACATACAACATTATATACTACAATAAGTAGCCGACAATTAACTTAACACAATTACATACCTTTCAGTGGAGCTCGACAACCATGTTTGGAGATCTTCAAGTTTAGCTGGATCCACTGGCCTATAAGGGTCGTACTCCGTCACAGTTGGAAATTTTTTCTTTTTTCAATATTCCTAAATGGAGTACATAGAACGGCGACCTTTCTTTTCTTCCGGTGCCCTCTCCCCTTAGGAGACTCAAGTGGATCGTCTACAACGATTTTCTCTATATCTATTGGTGTCGGCTCTATCTCCACCGGTATCGGCAGTTGTCTCTCTTTGTAAACAACAATGGCTGATGACGAGCCGGTCATAAAACTTACAATAAGCAAAAAAAAAAACATTCAATACTCATATATTTACACGAATGCACAATTACATTACGTAGTAGTTACAATTATATTTTACATACATACCCGCATCATCATTAAGTCCAACCATTTCTTGCTGGGGCATCGGAGATGGTGATTTCACCGTGTCTGCGAAAGAGAAAAAAAAAATAAGTGATTCAATAACATGTAGCATTTGTTTTAAAATATTACAAATTATACTTTACAATTCTATTTTTTTTATTAATCGAATAACAACATTAATATGATGCATTTATTTTAAAAAATACCTTCAACACCATCTACACTTCGAGCGGTCTCCGTATCCCGCATATTAATCTCCGGATCAAACTCTTCATCAACATTTGTCCCGTCATAGGTAGCACGGGTAGATGGACCATCTTTTGCTTGAAAAACTAATTTTTCTATTCGGTCAAAAAAATTGTTCATCTCCGTCTCCATATTCATCTCCATTCGGTCCATCTTCATCTCCATTCATCTCCATTTGCTCAGAAAATATTCTCATCTCGTCCTTCACAACTTCCGTCACAACTTGCCTGACTATACTTCGAATATTTTCAGCATAAAAAACTTGCGGTTGTGGTGGATATGATTGAGATGCATCATTTTTGTCTTCTTCCTTTTCCTCCTCTTCCTCACCCTCCTCATCCTCATCCTCATTTTTTTCTTCTTCTTCTTTTTCTTCTTTTTCTTCTTCTTCCTCATCTTTAGGTATAATTGCTTCTTCCTCGGTTATAGCAAATTCCTTCAAGTATGAAGTTTCAACTTCATCACTTGAGGGTTGTAACGTTCGTCGAACTTCAACCTGATTGTAGTATAATTAGTTTTTTGAAAACTATAAAAATAAATAAGATGACTTATCTATAACAAAAATTACCTCCGACGCGTCGAAAAACATACTAATTTGCTCGCTTCGCCACTGTTTACTAATTTTCCAAGAGATCATTCTCGGAAGTCTGCCACCACCATAAGTTTGACCAAATTTTCTTCCAAGCTCAGGCAGTGCCTCAAATGCCCAAACCTACTTAGCAAACAACAAAAAAAATTAAGAATACAACTAACATAAATAAATAAAAAAGAGTATAAATATAAATAAGAACAAATTAAGAAAAATACCATGATAGCGAGGGCAAATCCATGCAGAGAATACTTTATCGCATTTGTTTTTTCTTAATACCCAAAGTCTTCCGTTTGAACAACTTTACGGTGTACTCGTACGAAAGGTTCCCCCAAGGATAGTTATTAAATTGTTCCAAATCTTCAACGAGATGAAACCATCTTTCATCCACAAGAGTCCGGCACTCGTTAGACAATACCGCATACTCGAGGACAATGAGAAGCCCCAATTTGTACTTCAAATCTGCATCTTCCTTCTCTACCAAACCATCAAATTGCTCGAGCAAGTCTTTCTTCATTATCTTCCCTTTCTTCTCTTTGAATAAATCTAAAAGTGAACTACTTCTTTTGGGGACCTCGTAAGACACGTCATCCACAATCTTTAAACCGCTTACAAGAGAGAATTCTTGTAACCCGAATCTGGCTTCCTTTTCTCCAAATTTGAACCACACGTCATCTTTTTCATTGTCGGGTGATTTCAAGGTCCTTGCTACAAGGTGGTGGATTAATTGAGATGCCAATTTCA